GTCAATGAATTTGAATAATTACCCAAACCTTTGTACTCAACTTATGGTAAACTCTGTTCATTTTTGGGGTTGTAACCCTTTAAATTACATTGCACCAATATTATCTGAATATTGGAAGTGTGACACAATATTTGGAGAGATATAACATTATACGAATAAATCTTAATAGGATCTACGAGTAGAAGACCTGCATGGTAGAAACTCTGAGTAGGTGAAGTAGTACAGCTTTCAACAGTTACACCGGATAATACTTGATCCAGAAGGACACAGTGCTCAAAGACTTTAATTGGGTTAAGTGTGCATAAGTCTGTATCGCAGTAGTGATCACTGTATGTTATGGTAATACTAACTTGGCTTGGCAGCTAACTAGATTGGGAGGATCTAACTCGTAATAGGCCTTAGCGAGATCTGTAAACGATACTAGTGGGAAGCCATAGTAGAAACTAGGGTCACACATACATCCACAAGGGTCATAGCTAGGAGAATCTATAAAATGAGCATGAACCACTCTAGTAGATATGCTTCTGAGGTTAACTGAAGCTCTGCGGCTCACAATATGTTGGGCATACATATCCTGAGAGGAACTAAGCTGTATAGTAAATAGATCCACAGATGAGCTAGCTGGCTTAAGCAGTCGGCCATAGTGGTGATGTTAGTTTGAGATGGGAGGAAGTGTTAATGATTAGAGTATTTAAATAGATAACTCACAGGCAGGTTGCAGGTATAGCAATATGCATAAAACCAACAGATAGTCAATTATCTGTATGGCAGACTACTTAAATTAGACAATAACTAAAGTTGTACATATGGCTTGTTGTATACTCATCATATAACTATAAAACCTTAGAAGACTACTCATGTAGTAACTCCGTAATAACAAATTAATAAAATCTAATCAGCAAAGGAAGCCACCTTAATAATAAAAAAAAATATAAATTTTTGAAAAGTAGTTTTAATTGTTGAATATTTTTGAAAAGGTTATTAGTAGTAAAAGGATAAAAGAGATATTAGTTAGTTGTATAGTTCTTGGGTTGTTTGAATAAAAAGATTAAGTAGTGTTATTATAAAAAATTTTTGAATTATTTAAAATATTATAGTATATATAGATTAGTTGTTAAAGTAGAAGAATCTATGTTAAGTATCTTCTTAGTTATTACAAAAAAAGTAATTATTATATATAAAGATATTTAAATAAAGTTAGCATAAGTATAATAGTATTAGAAGTTCATTTTTTTTTTTTTTTTTTTTTTTTATAACCCGAGCTTTATAGAGCTAGGAGCACAGTTGGCACTCTTTATTTACAATTAAATAATTTATAGAAAATATTTTAAGTATTTACATAAAGTTTTTTTCTCTAACGATCTATTTGTTTTATACATTTTGTGAAGACTTTGGATTTTTTTAGAAATCTGATTTTTAACAATTGTTAAAAGTGTAGAAAAAGGAAAAGTAGTATTACCCTATTTAAATGAGGCATAGTAGCACCAAAGTTCATAAATTGTTGTGATATGAAGCTAGTTCAGCACTTGCTTTTGAGAAGAGTTTTATGCGTCTGATCCAGAGAATATTTCTTTAAGAGTTGAAGAGTAGTTGATTAATTTGTTAGTATTAAGAAATCTATATACTGCTTTTCAAATTTTTTTACTTAAGCTGCAGTCTATAGCAAAGTGTTCTGGTGTTTGGGGTTTCTCAGTACACCAAGGGTAGAATTCTGCTTCTAGTGATTCTATATGTTTGAGTCTATAACTAAGAGGAAGAGACCTGTGGTAGAGGTACTAGTATATATCTTTTTTCTTGTTTATGATTGTTTTTGTAGATAGCCAATTTGATGCTAGTAGGTCTAGTATTGTATATTATCGAGAGGATATAGGTTCTATCTTTTGAAATATTCGCAGAATTTTGTTTACTATGATTTTGTATCCTTTAAGGTCATTTAGCCTAATTTCTTCTTTGTTCCAAGGCCAGTTTGTACTCTTTTCTAGGCTAGAAGAAAAGGTTTCTACTCCATAGGCTAGGCTTTAGACTGAATATTGTCAGTTGTTAGTGCTTGTAAGGGTGAAATATCTCTTTTATCCCTAAGAATTGTACTAATTTTGTCTCTTTCGTATTTAGCCCAAAAGTGCTCAGATGAAAGAAGTTTAAGCCAGACTATTATTAGCTATACATCTAGCATGTCTTTAATTATGGGAGTCTGTAGATTAAGGTGCTCGTATGGTTGTTGAAAGACTGAGTATCTTAGAAGCATACGAGAGTTACTCTTGATCCATAAAGAAATTAGTCTATTTATTTCTGATGTCTGCTTCCTGTTTGGTGGGAGAAGATATGCTGTATACCAGATCTTTGAAAGTATAAGAGATTTGGTAAGCAGAATTTTCCCTTTAAAGGATAAATTTCTATTCGCAAGTTTATCGAGTGAGGCCTTAAGATTATTTATAGTAGATGATCAAAGATCCTTTTTTGGAAAACTATTTGGGTAAATACTATAACCTAGTGTTGTAATAAGTTCATTCTCTTTAACTATATGTAGTTAGTCCGACTGTGATAATTCTACTCTGGATGCTATTGCTGTAAGAGGAGCAAGTTTTGTTTTGGTTTTGTTAATTTTTGCATTAGAAGCTTGCTCGTAAGTTTCTAGAAGTTTAAAAGTATATTCTCAGTCTGAGAGAGAGCTAATTCCTATTGTAAAGTTATCTGCATAGGCTATAAGTTTGAAAGACTGATGATCTAGTTTAATACCCTATAGATTATTTTTTAAGTTAAGAAGCAAAGGTTCGAAAGCAAGTATGTACAGGAGAAGTGAGAGTAGATCTCCTTGTCTTACTCCTCTTTCTATTCTAAAAGCCTTTGATAGTTCATCTGTTTCAAGAATGTGGGCTTCTTGATTTGTAAAAAGGTTTTTGACTATTGAGATAAACTTTTTATCAAAGTTTATTTTCTCTAATACTAGTTCTAGAAACTCATGGCTTATACGATTGAATGCTTTTTGTTGATCCAAGAATAGTATCCAATATTGTTTGGTATTGTCTTGTTGACTTTTTAGAGTTGTTATGATGTCCATTGCAGCATCTGATATTGATCTGTTTTTTATGAAGCCTTGTTGTTGAGGAGAGATTACTTCTTGGCATATTGCATTTAGTCTGTTTGCTAAAATTTTCATAAAAATTTTAGCATCGCTATTTACTAAAGAAATTGGTCTCCAATTGTTTAGATTTTCCAAATCTAAAGATTTTTTTGGAATAAGTATGATTAGGTTTTTACACCATGATTTGGGTAAAAGACCTGAGAGAAGTACTTGATTAAAAAGGTTGTGTAATAGAGAAGTGATTACTTCCTCTGTAAGCTTATAGAACTTGTAAGTAAAACTATCAGAGCCAGGAGACTTGTTGTTCAGAAGGCTTCTGATCATATTCCTTATTTCTTCAAGAGAGATTTCTTGTATTAGCGAAGAGTTCTGTGATCCTGTAATTTGTGGAGCTTCTTTGATAATTTCATTTGCAGCGGCCAAGTTAATCTCTTCTTTTTTATAGATTTTTGAGTATTCTTCTCTAATATAAGAGAGAGTACTATTCTTGTTCTGAGTTGTATTCGCAGGATTTTTGATTTCACTAAGTGCTGAGCAAGATTTTCTAGATCTATACTTCGAAAAGAAATATTTAGTTGATTTTTCTCCTTGCTCTATCCATTTTGTTTTGGAGTGAAGTTGCTATTTTTCTGCTAGAAGGGTAAGTTCTTCTTGCAATTTGGCGTTAAGATTGTCTGCTTGAGCAGAAAGGTATATATTTGCAGAGTTTTCAGCGAGTTTTTTGTTTATCTGAGTAATTTGTTTGTTAAGTATTGAAATTTTGCTTTCTAGAGGTTTCAGCTTTTTGAAAGCCTTAATGATTGATTGGATATATATTTTGCATAAATCCCAGTTGTCTGCATTCTCATTTTCTTGTATTTCTTCTATTATTTCTTTTTTTAGTCTCTCGTTATGGAAGCAGTTTTTATCAAATTTCCACAAAGGAGACTTGTTTGTATTTGGTGTAAACTTTAATGTGCATTCCACTAGAAGGTGGTCAGAGTTACCAAATTTAGTATTGGTCTTATGAATAGAGTGAGCATAGTTTTCATCTATGAAAATATAGTCTAAGTGAGTTGCCATCATTCTGTTTCCTCTTGTTTTTTGAAAGAAAGTATGGAATGGCTTGTTAGTTGCAACCTCTGAAGAGTCAATAAAGTTTTTTGTAAGATCTTTAAGTTGAGCTCTAGTTGAATCATGCTGTGCCAAAGACTCATTGATTCTATCACATTCAGGATATAAATTAGTATTAAAGTCTTCTGCAATAATATTTATCATATTATCTTTTACTTAAGAAGACTAGTTGTTAAAAAAAATAGATCATTCACTTTGACTAGGAGGTGTATAGATGTTTGTAAACTGAAAAGATAAATCTTTGTAGCTAAAATTTGTAGTCATAACTCTGCTACTTTGGAGCTTTGAAAAGTTATATTCTTATTGCCTGCTAATATAGCTGTCTTATTTGATCATATTGAGTCAAAAGTCTATTATTGTTGTAAAAAGATTTGTGTATCTTTGTTATTGAGATTTGTCTCTTGAAGCATTATAATATCTAGATTATAAGACTTAAGAAGAGTAAAAATATTTCTTTGTTTCTGTTGATTGTTCAGTCCTTTAACGTTTAGAGTTCCAATTTTTATCTTTAAGTTTTTAAGCATAAGAGTTGATTTGAGGTAAAATTTTAGATCTGCATACTTTAGTTCTCATTATGAGTTTTTTTCTTATAAGGAGCAGTTCTGGTTTCTTCTTGTTTTTATACAAATACTTTCTTTTTATCTTTTTTCCTTTTATTTGTAGCAGTTATGTATTCTCCTTTTGAACGGTCAAGTTTCTGCAGTTCATAGTTATTGTTATCGATAATAACCATAGGAGAAGTTACCTCTTATGCTATTTCTTTGTTGGAAGTAGAATTGCATGTTAAGTCTGCATTTTAAGTTTCCTAATTTTTTCTCCTATTTGAATTTTCAGTATTTAGAATCGTATTTTCATTAGTCCTGGAAGTGTCTTGTTGTTCTTCTGTAGTAGAGTTTTTAGGGTGTTCATCTATACACATTCCTTGAGTTGAGGATGAAAAAGCTAATGCAGTTTTTTCAACCAATGAGTTAGAGATAAGTTCTGAAGTTTTTTTTTTGTTCTTATTTTTTTGATACTCCTTAAAATGATGACGAAGTGCTAAAGCTTCTTAATGTTGTTCACAATCTCTTTTGACATGACCTTCTCTGTTACAGAAAAAGCAGATCTTTGGAGCTGATTTCTATTCTGTAGTAATTTTGTTTTCTAACAAAATATAAAAATAAGAGATTCTTTTTTCTAGGTCTGAGTCATTTGTAGTATTGAAAATAATAACCTATTGGTCAGTTAGATAAGGAGTTCCTTCTATTAAAAGTAGTTTGATTGAAGCAATTTTTCTCATATCTTCGAAGACCTCTTTAATAGCTTCAGAGACTAAGTTTTTTTCTTGTAAAGGAATATTTCTAATTTTGACTAGAAGGAAAGATCTTCTATTATCTATAGGAATAGAGCCAAGATATGTTTTGTTAAAGATGTCTATCCCTTTAACTATATATTCTTGTAATTTTTCTTTGTTCGCAAAGATAATTTCTAAGTGAGTGTGAGCTCCTCTGTTAATATATGGTTTTGCTGCTACTATATCACTCCCCACATTATTATAAAAAGATATTATAATATCATTTAAAGAGCAGTTTTTAAGGCTATTAATATCTAGTACTAAGGCATTATCATTTTTGGATCTAATAGTGCTTCTCTGAAAATAAGAAGTAAAAGTAGATTGGCCCTTTTTAACCTTAG